TATTATAATATACAATAATAATGAATAGAGTAATACGAAAGAAGTGTACATATATTAATCAGCTCAAGTCTCTATCTAATATATATATGTATAATATAATTCCACTCAAAGTTCCTATGTTCTGACGGACTCAAAGAAACAATCAAAAAATTACATTAGCCCAATAAACTCTTTTAAATTCGTGAGCCAAAATAAAAGGAGAATGTTTCATACAATATTATAATAATGCTGGCAATGAACGAGTTCGATGTTACTTGAGTAGACTAAAAATACTCGCCCTGCTGAGTTTTCTCGAGGCGAGCGGGCGTTGGGCAATCGAGCAATCGAAACTAATTAAGTGCAGAGCAATTATAGCTAAAGTAGATATTGGCAATATTTCCATTTAACAATATTAATATGCCAATGCACTCCACTTCACTCCACTCTGGCATGGCGTGGCAAGGCAAGGCAAGGCATATGGCTGGCTAATGTCCCATAAATTGGCAGCGAAACACGAACTTGGTTAGAAAATCGTTAGTTTAAGTGACAATTAAATAAATCGAAAGATGTCACAATGACAGCGACAACGACAACGACGACGAGTACGACTCTGACTCTGACTCTGACTCTGAGTCGAACTGCAATTGCTGAGCGACAGCAACGATTTTTGTTTGTGGGACATAAGCCTGCACTCGCACTCCTATTCGCTTTCGCATTCGCATGTTGTGAATTTGATATGCACAACAGTTAGTTGGATGGCAGCCAAAGGAGAAGCAGGAGTCGAATGGAGGCCTCGGCGACTCGCGACTTAGTTCTTTGTTAGCAGTTCGCACGCATCGGACATAAATTAGCGAGATTTATGCGACGGCCGCTGCGCTTAGATTTCGCTAGAAAAGCACCAGAACGGGCCGCAGCAGGAGTGGTCGGCAGGCAGGCGGAGGAGCCGTCATCATCGGAGCACATGGAACATAACGATAGCGCATGGCCCACGAGATAGCAAATCGATAATAAATTAGACTCTTTGGCGACATGTTTCTTCCGCACCTGCAGACACGCCCAGAAAAGAAAACTCGCAGTCATCTCCCTCTCCCTATCTCTCTTTCTAATGTCTCGCTCTCGCATTGATTATGCACAAACTTAGTTTGTAGTCGACAAATCGATGGAATATGCAAAATATTGTTTGTATATTAAGCCAGCAACAGTCGCAGCCTCTACCGCCACTTCTACCGTCGCCTCTATCCCCACGACCACCTCCTCCACCGCCACAGTCTTAGTCTCAGTTTCAGTTTCAGTTTCGGATAGCTAATGGGATTCGCCTAACCCAAAAGATAGAAGCAACGAAAACAACGAATTTAGAATCCTCTCGGCGCCAAAAACTCTTTCGGATGGCCAAGTGAATGTTAATTGTGAGCTGGCATTTTCTTTGTTTCGTTGTTGGTTGACTAAAATGAAATGCAAATGCAGAGATCGCTTTTGGCTTTCCCGTTCGAGAGATAATATTGTAGTAGCGCTATCTGCATTTCGGAATCTCAGAGCACCCGTTCCCAGCACTCAGTGCAGCCAGCTGGTGTCTCATATTTTCTTTCGCTCGCCAGATCCCAATCGGCCGAGCAGCTCAAGCACGGACGTTTATGTGACAAGCTAAGCTCTGAGCGCAACACTTTAAAGATGTTTATTAGCATTATAACATGAATATACAACGACCGGCAATGGATTGTTCCTCCATCATTAGCCATAACTGAATTGAGGGACTCAGAATAAACTAGTTTTTCACTTAAAACTCGCCCGGGTCAACATTGTGTTGCTTTCCACACTCGAGCCAACCGATTCGAAGAGCGAGCGATCAAGCGATCAAGGCTCCGCACTTGAGTTCCTTTTAGAGTCTTGTGCTTCGATGAGTCAAAAGTCAAATATGTATTATTAGAGATTGGCAGAGCCCCCACAGAACGCTGCCATTGGCAGCTGGAAATGGAAATGGGGCGAGTGGGAAGTGAGCTAGTGGCGGCGGTTGGGGCAGCTCTCTCAGCACTTGGACTTAATTGAAATTTGAAATATGGTATTATGTGCGCGCCGTTGAAGCACAGTTCATAATCGAGCCCCGAGCCAAGTTCAAGAACTCGATTGTT